CAATGAAGGAAAATTTCTAAAGGCCAAAAAGAACAGAGAGAAGTGGAAATGAAAATAGAACTCACCGTTTTGGCCCGAAAGTGAAAAATCTAGAAATTGAATAAAGTTAGAATTAATAGAATAGTAGAGACTAGGAAAGGAAAATCTTAGTACTACTTGTTTGACAATGATATGAATAATTAAATTACTTTAACTGATTGCTACTCGTAATTTCTCTCTCATATGTACCCTAATCCATTCCGATCCCAAGGCCCATGGATTATGATGTCACACGGATCATCGAAATGGCTAACTCGAAAATTTCTTTTAAAATCTGATTATAAAACAAACGATAAAAATTCATCCATGACAAATAAGATAAAACCTTACAATAATCTGAGTTACAAAATATGGGGAGCTCCTAAAATATCCAAAATAATAAAAGTATTGAATTTACAAAACAGATTTACGACTGAATACACAAGGGTCTATATAATAGTACATTGCCTCTAAGAATAATCCAAGACCTACTATGAGTGCCTCGACTAATCTTGAACTACTGTCGACGATAATGCCTTGTTACTGACCACCTATGAACCTACGCACAGAAATACATTACATACGCTGAGCTTACGAACTCAATTCCATACTAATAACTGTATTGTACAATATGCATTCACTAAATGAGCATGCAAGTGGCATAGGTATGAAGGCATGGAAATACTAAACTACATTCTGAAGTAGGCATCATGGTGCGGCTGAAGGTTCTGCATCTCGAATCTCATATACACCTCTAGCCTTTCTGAGATACCCTTGAGTATCTAGGGTAAGATCCGGAGCTGCATCAGAAACGTACACCCGCCAATTTACGTTTTCGACTCTTAGGACATCTGTGCCCAGTCAGCTACTGAAGTGTCTTGGCACTAACCAGATATCCACTAACTGCCGTGTTCTTCTAAAGAGACTCATGTGTCCTGACTGCTTCCCGAGTGTCAAACAAGACTAATTTTATGTTATCATAGTTATTACTATTTCCAGCTGTCTTGATATTAATTATTGTTCTCACTTGTTGTCTTATCTACTATTATACTGATGTATTTAGGCCCTTCGAGTCTAGTCCCTTAATTGATTGAATTATCTATCCAAAATTGTTTGTTGGTATCGATACTGACCATTGAGTGAGTATCGATATTTCCCTTAAAAAATACTTATTTTTGCCCTTAATGAAGAATATTATCGGTACTATTCTTCTAGTACTGATACCCATGCTTCGTGGTGCCCTGTTTTGGCACAAAAAAATTATCTTTCCATTCCAAAAGTCATGGTAAGGTCCCCGACTGATGTTTAACTGTTATGTCTGATAAAAGGGATAATAAAAAAGTCCATAAATATATTGAAAATACCCAAACACTAAAATCTACCATGAACTTGCTTCAAACTTATGCAACTTACTAAAACATACATAATGAGCTACATGTGGTAGAGTTGAGTTATAAGTGAGTTGCCTTGATAATTTAGACTGCTTAAAACGTCCATGGCTCAACCCAAGGTAAGCTTGTCATTCCCCTTAGCTTTAGAGCTTTCTCCAACCTATCTCACTAAGCAAGAAATCAAATCAAGGGTTACTAATGTTGTTGGGAAGCTTAGAGGGGAATTTAAAAAGTTTCTAAAGGTATGAATCTTCCTAAAATGAACTAAAATCACTTAGGTTTCTAAAACCCTCACTAAATCCATTTATGGAAACCATGGCCAAAACTTGATCTTATGGTCTCAAATGGTAGCTCTAGAGGTGTTGGTTTTGATTATTACCTTTAGGTTGCTGAACTAGAGTTGCAAGGTTACCAAGTTACCACCTTTAACTTATTGAACTTGAAGAAGAGAGAAGATGAAGTTTTCGGAAAGGAAGAAGAGACAAAGAAGAGTTGAGAAAAAGAGGGAGAAGTCAAAAGTTAGATCACCAAAACTAATGGATATTCAGCCTTTCAAAATAAAAATGGTTTAATTACTTCCTTGGTCCTGTTTTTGGTTGCAAGCTAAAAATGCCATTTTTATCCGCTATTAGGCTTAATCTAGGCCCAATTTCACTTAAACTTGGGTTAAGGCTTCCAAAAGCCATGGGTTTTATTCTAAGCTCGATTCAAAATATCCCAAAACTCCTAACCTAAAATTCGGGGGTTACATGTTTGCTTCGTGTTGGATAAGAGATAAGACGAGCATTTGAAAATATGATAAATAGTATTTAAACTATCAATTTTAGTCTCTTTTATTATTTAAACTTTTATTTTTTTAAATCGTACTTAAAATTTAGTTTTTGTTTCATTTTAGTATCCGCCATTACAAATTTTAGTTTTTGTTTCATTTTTGGTACTCATGTTCAAAATTTAACGCTAAGTTTAAATACTAAAACGGGTCAAAACTGATAGTTTAAGTACTAAACTCATTAAGTTTTTAATGACGTGTATTAAAATGAAACAAAAACTAAATGTTATGTAAGATTTTAAAAAATTAAAAGTTTAAGTACTAAAATAGACTAAAATTGATTATAATGTCCGAGAGAACAAATAACATAAAGAAAATGGGACAAATTTTGGCATCATAGAGATATTGGCGATCCTGGCTAGAAATTATGATGGCAAACCATTTTCTTTATGCAAGGAAGAAACAACCTAGAAAATCAAATTTCCAACCCGCCTTCCTTCTTACCCAACTGCCCTTATAAAAACGGACAATTAAGGGGTGCGCTTTGAAGGCAATAACAACCCCCCAAAAGAATGGATTTGAGATATTGTGTTCCTCCTATAGTGAATATGATATTGTTTGTGTTACTCCAACCCTAATAAATTTTCCTAGCCAATTTCAGTGTCGAAGCTCCCATTTTTGTCTCTTGCCGCCTTCTTTCTATTCTTCTTCCTTTTCACCTCAGCTGAACTCCCTCTCAATACCAATCTCATTCTCTTTGACCCCGAAAATTTCTCCATTGTGGCAGCTGTGTCGTTACTTGTCTCGCTCTTTCTCCCGCCTTCGGTGTTCTGGTCTTTCCATTTCTTCATCGTCGTCTCTTGTTCCTGCCATGAATTGTTGTTCAATCTATCTAACCGTTTCTTTCATTGGCTTCATGCCTTCATTCAATTACTTCCGACTTATTACGTTAAGATCTTCGCTCGCAATGAAGGAAAGGAAATTTGAACTCACTTCCTCTTGAATTCGACATTGAAATCGGACATATACAAGAACATGATTAAGACTATATGTTTGCCGAGAAGCGAGTAGCGTGGTTGAAGTTTAGTGGGAGTGTTGTACTAAAAATTTTCTATGTTGCGATCTAGTTTTAAGTTTAGATTTCTCTCTCTCCAAATTCAATGTGTAATTGACATTCTAGTTAAGATTTAGAATGATTGTTTTAAGGAGCAATACCAAAATTTACCCTAAACTTCATTTTTTTTATAAATACTTCAACCTTTGACATGTCAATTTGAATAAAACATCCTCTAATTAGAGAAAAAAACTTCGATTATCATCCCTAATTTTTATAGATGAATGATCAATATATTCCAACCAAATGAACAACTACAAACAGCAAAACAACAACCAAACTATGTCAAATGTCGAGCTATACAAATATTCCTATTCCCTGTACACTCCATGCAACATACCTACCCCACAATTTCAATTTAACCATCTCCCTAATTCTATTCACCATCTCAACATGACCAACTTCAACATCTGCAAAAAGTTTGTGATTTCTCGTCTTCCAAGTTCCAAACCTCAACAATATAACAATTCCAAGCCAATTTCAGTACCCAAGTTTACCCCTCAACCTTCTGCACGGTCAAGCCAGCTCGCCCCCCAGTCCATGATCGGGCGATCAATCTGACACATACGCAACACCTGCAACCAAACAGTTCGAGAGATATCACATTCAAAAAACAAGTGGTCTCTCGTCTCACTATTGTTCAAGTAAAGACCATATTCACTCTCAACAGCCAGACCAAAGGAAATCAATCTCTCCTAGTGGGCAATCGGTCCAACACAACTATCCAAGAGATCAAAGAATTTTTGAGGATGTGCCCTGAATGCCAAACAAGACGTTCCCAGGGCACTTGCTCCCTAACACTTCTAATTTCCTTCTAGATCATGGAAGCCGAAGAAAGAGCCAAGAGCCCATGCACACACTCAACTTTGTTTCTAAGATGCAACAACGTACGCCAGGTCCAACTACACTGCTGAGGACAAGAAAGACTCCAAAAGAAATTATCCTTAATAATGTAGGAGTGAACCCAAGACACCCAAATGAAACCACCTTTCAACAACACCTTCCTAATAAGCAAAAAAAAAAAAAACACACGTGGTTCCAACACTTCAAATTCTTTAAAACGAGACCCCCTTCAGACTTATGATAACAAATCGAACTCCATCCCACACGAGCTCCCTTAGCAGCCTTATCTTCCCCCTTCCACAAGAATATAGAACATAATTGGTTAATATGATGAATGACCGTATCAGGAAGTGCCAACTGGCAACTCCAATAATTTTTAGCAACTATCCTTTAATCATTGATATGATTTGATTGCATAAACAAATATTATATCATATACGTTGTAGAAAAAAAAAGTAAAATCAAATTACATGAAATCAGGCATTTTGTAATCCAAATTTCAAGTATATAAAACCACCGACCGACCAACTAATCTTGACCCCCTCTTTTTAAGCTAACAACAACGCCAGCTCTCACAACCTTTGGCTTAATTTGACTCGTTAGTAAGTTTAATATGATATTATCGATGATATTAAAATTCTTCTCATTTATTTATATGTTTTTTCATTTAAAATTTTACATATAAATTAGTTTTTATCATTTACTCATAATTATCCATAAAAAATAAATTTTATTATAATTTAGATCTAAAATTTCAATCAGTTTTTTTAATCCAACCATGTTTGTTTACAAAGCTAAGCTTTTAACTCCCATTAAAGCTTGCAGTTTGCACCTCTAACTCAGTGGCAGAACCGTGGTTTCAAAAGTCGTCGGGGAGACATAAGTAAGTTCACTTGTGCAAATCGACCATTGTGGGTTGGCGCTATTACAGTTCCAGTCCCAGAAGAAACAAAGACAGAAGAACTCCAAAGGAAAAAGCAAAGCTTTTTAAGTATTGTGGCGTGGACTTTTTGATTCACTGAATTTCTTGTCTCAGATCCATTTTCCGATCCCAAAAGTAAAACTTTGAACCCAATTAAAGACGAGACTTGTTTTTTTTGTTTTGTCGTTTTTTAATGGACGAAAGCCAAGAGCAGAAGCCATCAGCTCAGCCGTCGAAAGCGATGGTGGCGGCGGCTTCACGGCCCTCGATTACTCCCCCACCTCGTCCTTTCACAGAGGCGTCGTTCAACGGTGGAGCACACATGATGGGCTTTAGTCCGGGTCCCATGACTCTTGTTTCCAACTTCTTCTCCGAATACGACGAGTTTAAGTCGTTTTCTCAGTTGCTTGCCGGTGCCATGGCCTCGCCGGCTGCAGGGAAAAGACCCAACTTTCCTCCTGTTACTACCATCGAAGGTCAGGGTGGTGTCTCCGGCTCAGGCGGTGGAGGTGACCATACAGGATTACGGTTCAGGCAGAATAAACCGGCTGGTTTGGTGATAGCTCAACCGCCATCGATGTTTACGGTGCCGACAGGGCCGAGCCCGGCGAGCTTGTTGGAGTCTCCTCGCTTTAGTGTGTTTTCACGTGGTTCCCAGGTAATTTTTCAAAGCTCAATTTGTTAATTCCAGTTAAGTGGAAGTTAAGATTTGAGCATCTGTTGGTGTTACTCATAAGGCAATGTCGGATTTGTAATCTGTCAGCTTGCGCATCGCATTGGAAGATTGATATTGTAAAAAAGAAAACCCTTTTCAGAATCAAACTCGCAGCTTATAATCCATGGCGGTATGCTTATATAAAATTTAACCGATTTCCCCTGTATATGAACCATATAGGGACCTTTCGGAATGACGCACCAGCAGGCGCTAGGGCAGATCACCGCGCAGGCACATTCGTTGGCACCTGCTGCATCTTCGGCATCGGTTGCCAGTGTGACAATGAACCAGCAGATGCCACACGATTCGACTTTTACTATGAAAGAACCATCAGATGCATGCCAATCTGATCATGGGTCCCAACCTGCTTCACTTGTTGTAGATAAGCCTGCTGATGATGGGTATAACTGGCGTAAGTACGGGCAGAAACAGGTTAAAGGGACTGAGTTTCCGAGAAGTTACTATAAGTGCACGAATCCTGGTTGTCCGGTGAAGAAGAAAGTCGAGAGATCGATAGATGGCCAAGTGACTGAAATCATTTACAAAGGGCAGCATAACCATCAACCTCCGCTGCTGAATAAGCGTGGGAAAGATACCGGAAGCTTAAATGGACATGCAGGTAATCAGGGGAATCCCGTATCAGCTAGCCAACTTGAGAGTGGCAACTCAAACATAGTGATTTATAAGGACCAAGAATCTAACCAAACTACTGGGACGAGTGACAGTGAAGAAGCTGGTGAGAATGAAGTTGTAGATGAAAATGACGAAGACGAACCCGACCCCAAAAGACGGTGCGTAAAAAAACTATATAATCCATATAATATACTCGGTTCTGTCCTTGAGGGAAAGCTTTCCTGTCCTTGAGGGAAAGCTTTCTTCAACAAAATTTCTTTTATACGCAGAAGTACAGAAATCAGGGTCACGGAGCCAGCTTCTTCTCATCGGACTGTCACGGAACCCAGAATTATTGTGCAGACGACTAGCGAGGTTGATCTCTTGGATGACGGCTATAAGTGGCGAAAGTATGGACAGAAAATTGTCAAAGGCAATCCTCATCCAAGGTAATGCCTCCATGTTGAATGTTTTTGCTATTACTGACTATATATTTGTGATCTACAATTATTTTAACCATTGCTGATGCATCTTTTCGGTTCTTCAGAAGCTACTATAAATGCTCAACCCCGGGATGCAACGTCCGTAAGCATGTTGAGAGGGCTTCGACAGATCCCAAAGCCGTTATAACAACATACGAGGGAAAACATAATCATGACGTACCGGCTGCCAAAACAAGGTGCCACAACACAGCCAATAGTAATGCTTAACATGCAAGAACGCAAAACATACTGCCCGAGAGGTATAGTCGACAACCTGTAGCACGTCTACTGTTAAAAGAAGAGCAGATAACATAACACAACTATGGAAGGTAAAATCTGTCATATTTTCCTAAGTTTTTTATTCACACTCACGGTTGATGTTTTAATGGAGGCCATTCACTCAACCGATATGATATACGAAAGAAAAAAGGGAAACATAAGAAAAAAGTCAGTTTGGAACAAACTCATTATCGGGATCGAATCGAGGTGATGCTGTTGTTGCTTGTAAACTAGTACAGTGAGCATATTGTGTTTAGTTCTACCATTCCATGCATTCTTTTGTACATGGAAATACTGAATCAATGTTGTCTGACATGATTTCGAGCCAATAAGATATCGAAAATTCTTGAGTTGCAGCCTGCTTTATGTTGTTTAGCATGTAAACAATCAGTTTTTGATTGAAGGATTTGTAAATGTTAAGATTCGATTCAGTCCAATTTGAATGAACAACCCAAATAACAGCTTTTGATGCCAAGATTCTCCGGTATTTACTGGTGAAGATATATAAATTACAGTGGCAGCAGCAGTATAAAATGAATGAATGAGTACAGGTATACATGGTTTAGATGACAGTTAGAATTTACCCACAAATTTCATTTTCTTTTTACGAAAAAATGAAAATTTTCACGTATTTCTTCATGAAGACAAAAATCCTTTCATTTTCAAAAAGAAAAAAAAGAAAAAATATTAAAAAAAATGCCAGAACTATTGGCTTTAGAAATCTTCCTGTTGCCTGTTCATCAAATTGAATCGTCTTCTTGACTGGTTACAATGGTGGGAATTTGGCCATGATTTACAAAATCAATCTGATTCAAGCGCAAACAGCACAAAGCTTGCTCTGGGAGCTCCTCTGGTTTATTTGCCTGCCATTGTTTACCAACATGCAAATGTGATCAAGTTTTATATTGATCGATTTGGTTCTGTTCGGTTAAAATAAAGTCGAAGAGAAGTTTACCTGAATGGTTAAACCCAGATTTACTATCCCAAACTGCATGCGGTCGATAAACGATTCAAGTCCTTTCCTAGATATGTAGCTAAACCGGTGTATATCTATATCAATCTCGAAGTAGTTCTCCCCCTGGATGATGTATCAATGATTCGAGTGAGTGTCCGATACATATATGTTTGATATTTATAAACATTTTAGAATAGATTACCTGATAGAAACTGTGTTGAGGACGTGAAAGCACTGGTTTATCGTTATAAGCTTGAATCAGCTTCTTTTCAGTATTACCAATTTGGAGGTCGTCAGGGTTAACTAACCCTGCCATAATCTTTAGCCTCTCTCTGAATGGAACAATGCACTCTTTGGCAAACCCTCTGATCCTTTCCATGTCATCGTCAATAAATTTCTGCAACGGAGTTTTTAGTTCGAGGATTCGATTTGAATGTTCTGAAGTTCGTAATTAAACCGAGGAGATTGATTACCTTTATGCTTTCTTGGAATTGAGGGGATATATCTTCTTCAAAAGTATCCGACACCTTGAAATACAAGACAAGGCTCAAGCCTTCCCCATCTGCATCGCCGAGAAACACTTTGGCAGGATAAGTTGGCACCTGCAAGAAGAAACACCGGAACGACGTAAGGGATCGAAATTGACAGAGGTTGTCGTGTGAGATAATGCAAAGAGGCATGAGATCAAAGATAGGAATAATGACCTGTATATTAACAATCAAAAGTGGAGGCACTTTGTCGTGTGGTTTTACTTTCGGCAGTTCAAGGTGCTCTGCAATGTGGTTCATTTTTCTCGGGCAGACGAATAAATCAACCCCTATCGGTACATACGGGCTATAATCCGGAGCAGGGGCCTTTTGTTTATCACTGCAAATGATGTATGAGATATGAGGTGGCATTGGATTAAGAGTTGGAAGTGGTGTATGAATGGTAGGGAACTATAATGGCTTGCCAAAAGAAAGTAGGTCCACGAAGCTTAAAAACAGATGGTGAAACCTCCGACCAGGTTCCTGGACTTCCCTTCTCTCCGGAGTGAAGGATTAGAGTTCCGGCTTGGGGACGGTACAAGTACTTCTCAGTTCCACCTGTTGAATGTAGATTTGTTAACTTTGTGATGGGGTTCATTGATAGAGTATTGTGTTATTAGTTCACATCCAAAAAACACAACGGTGGCCGTGGCACCAGTAGGAGTGAATTACCTCCGAATATACTATGGCAATCGTCGTCGAATTCGGACTCCATAATGCTAACCGAATCGAACCATTCTTCCTCTTGACATTTCCCATCGGAAGAAACCTGACTGTGGTTATATTGTAGCTGTGTCATACGAAATGACATGTTAGACATCTCGGTGGTCGAAGCGCCATTCTCGTATTCGGCGTCAACGAACTCGCTGACTGTGTATTCCGCATCACTCATGCTGTTCCTAGATTATCAATAGAAAATATAAATAAAACATCTAAAATATATAATAATTTAGCCGGCTTCCCTTGTGCTCCATGCATGCCTACCTGCATACATCAGGGATGGGAGGGGGAATCTTGGCGGGCATCCTTCCTCGCCTGCTCAGCCCAAAGTGTCGTCTATGCGGCCTAGGTATGGTGGCCACTTGGCCGTACACCGAGGCGCAGCCACCCATTTCTGCCGGACAGTAAAGTGCTTGAGCTGCTCGACAAGATGATCACTGTCCAAACTGAGGAGAGAGAAAGGTTAAAATCCCGGCATGGACGAGGAACCTCGGGTTCCTTTCTCTCTCTCTCTTCTCTGTCTTTGTCTGTTTTTATTAAATTCCGATCAGAGATCGAAAACAATGGGGAAGATAGAAGGGATTATGGAGACAGAGTGTCTCCTGTATAGGCGGATCCTTGATTTGAACAAACTCCCGTTTTAAATCCCCTCCCTCTGTTTCTCTTCCCCCCCCCCCACGTCCTGTTTTGTGTTTCGTTTTCAATCCATTTGCTCTCTGCTTTTCTCTCCTCTTTACTATATTTGCTGTTTTTCTTCCTATTTCTTGCCCCATATTTCGCGGGCTTTTACCGCTCTTGTCTTATCTTAGGTGGCGTTGTTGTTGATTATTAGGCTTAGCAAGAGGACTAAATTAAAATAAGACAAGATTTCCGAAACAAATAAACTTTTTAAATAGTAATTTAATTAATCTTAACCAATACTTCTTGATAATAAATTAACTGATTATTTTTATTTATATATTATATTAATGGATTACAATTCTAATGGTAATGTCATTAACTTTAATTATCAACCAAAGGTTCTTATTAGCAAACAACAAACGCCATTAGATGATAATCTACAAATAATTGAACAAACGTTCTTTTTTAACTAAACAATGGCCAACGATTTTTTTTAAAATTGAATTATTATTTATTTATTTTAATGGAAACTGATCAATACTTAAAATTAATTAATTATTTTTGTCTGATTTTGAGACAAAATAATGATGGGTTTTAAATATTGAAGCCACATTTGTTGAAGTATGGTGAAGTAGTTGAGCCATAAAGGCTAATAGGGCTTTAGTTTTATATGTTTAATTTTGTCTCCCTCTCATCTCACCAATTGAAGTATTTGCTTTAAGTCCTCAACTTTTCTTTTAGTTCAATTTTGAAATCGAGTCACTAAGTTATTAACAATGAGATGATGTAGTAGGTTGATATCAACGTGTGCAAACATGTAGTTTTAGTTTACCCAAAAATGGATATCATATTTTAGTAACTAAAAAGTTGGTTTACCATACAAAATTAACGTAAAAAGTAAAGAAAAAGGTAGGGTCTTGAAGTAAAAAAGAGAGTAAAAAACCAATCTTTCTCGTGTTGTTATTACGGCCACAGTTGTGAGTTGTGAGACGGATCTTATGGCAAAGCAAAGAGCTTTACAAAAGACAGATCTGTTTGCTTGGGCGGTCTAGTTTAACTATTAAATCCAGCAGAATTTGAGTTTTAATTCTGTGTAATTTTCAAAGTTTTCGACATGTAGTACTTGCTCTAACACTCCATTGTGCTTCACTACTGAACATTCCTAAGCTTCTGGTAAAAACCAAAAGTGCAGATGTTTCACCATACGTGGCTCAACTAACAAGAAAAATAGTTTTCAAATGCAAAGAGAATTATCATCAACAACTAAAAAACCTACATTTTTGTTAGTTCTTACAAATCTGAAGCATCTCTTATTACAATTCACACGTTTTCATACATAACAGCGACGACAGAACATAAGTGAACCTAAAAAACACCTTGTTTTTCATCAAAACTTAAACGATTGAGACAACATGAGGGACTTTGCCATCGTCATCAAAAGGCAAACTTACATAATCTTCCTGCAAATTCTTCAGCCTTGGAATATGCATAGAAAACTGTATATGCAGCCAAATTATAAATCATAATCACCATGTAGAATGCGGTTGTGCTGACAATATTGCAAATAAAGTACCAGCTTTTCCATTCATCACCAGCTGAATCACCCGATTGCATAATTGAGCGCAATACATTGATCGATTCATCGAACTCGTGTTCTCAGGAATAACAACAATTCCTTTACCACTTAGACTACTTGGTTTGTTGGTTTGTGCTTGTGTTTTAAGGTTGTTTTCAATATTCCTCAACTGAATTATTGAATTGATGTTTGGTAAATTCATGATATCAATTTAATTAATAAATTGAATAATATTATTGAGGTAAAATATATTCGATTTTAAAAGTTACCTTTGATTTTTTTAATTTCTTTATGGATGATTATATGTAAAAGAAATAGAAAAATATATTAATGAAAAATAATTAGAAATTTTCAAATTTTTAAAAAGCCTTTTTTTTAATTTTTTTATCGGATCAAAAGCCCAGTTTTTAAATGGATTTTTACCCTAAATTCCAATTTCGCAGTCACATGCCAAAAACAGAGTCCCTCTCCACGGCAAGCACTTTCAATCTCCCAAAAGAGCCCAGTTTCAACCTGTTACAGGGTCACGAACGCCGACACCATGCATTTTAGCACCTCAAGAAATGGCAGCTATAAAGCTATAAAATCCAAATTCGTTCGTTTTATATCGTTTCTTCTTCTTCCGTAAGACCTTATTTAACACTCGAGAATTTCCCTCCAATCCCACAATCTTCTTGCCCTTTTTCACTTTCGATCCCTTATTTCAGCCTTTCCACTGTGTTTTCCTCGTGTCTCCTCAGGATTACAAAGGTTGGTCTTTTTCAGATCTTTGGTTTTCTACAATCCCCAATGTTTATTTAGCTGCTGGGTTGATAACTTTTCTGGGGTTTTAATTAAAATGGAAACTGTTAGCGTACGAATGAGATCGGATCATTTAGACAAAGAAGGATTTAAGGAAACCCGTGAAGAAAATTTTGAGCTAGAATCATCCATAATATTAGTGATGGTAGCATCCAATTTCATTCGATGAATGCCTTAGAGATCTTAAGAGAGACTGTTAGGATATTACGGTACAATTTGTCCGGTTTTATGATCATTGCAGCTTTGTTGATTTGCCCAGTATCTGCTGTCTTTATGTCTAATTTGCTAGTTGATCATTCCATTGTCAAGAGATTAACTGTTAGGCTTTTGTTAGTTGCCAAAACCTGTGGACTCCCATTGAGGCCTTTTATCAGACAGTCATCTCATAGGTTCGCGGAGTCGGCTGTTTCATCGGCAATGTGCTTTCCTTTGTTCATTTCATTGTGTTTGTTATCGAAGGCCGCAGTGGTTTATTGTGTAGACTGTACTTATTCGAGGAAATCAGCCGATGCTTTGAAGTTTTTCGGGATAATTTGGAAGTTTTGGAGGCGGCTAGTTTTCACATATGTGTGGGTGTGTATGGTTATAGTTGCTTGTGTGACAACTTTCTTTGTTTTCCTTGTTGCGGCATGCAGCTTTCTTTCTGTTGTTGGCTTTACACCTGATTTAATTGTGTATGCGGTGATACTGATGGGACTAGTGTTCTCGGTTGTTTTTGCGTATGCAATCGTTGTCTGCAATATCGGAATTGTAATCTGTGTGTTGGAAGAAGTTTCGGGACCGCAGGCAATGCTTCGGGCCGGTGTTCTAATCAAAGGGCAGACTCAAGTTGGTCTTTTGATATTTCTTGGTTCTACAATTGGTTTAGCAGCTGTGGAAGGGTTGTTTGAACATAGGGTTAAGGCGTTGAGTTATGGAGGTGGGTCTTCTAGGATCTGGGAAGGGCCACTGTTGGTCATAATGTATTCGTTCGTCGTGCTTGTCGACTCCATGATGAGTACAGTCTTCTACTTCAGTTGCAGATCTTACACTATGGAGAACTCGGACGGTGAGTGTCAATCCATGTTGGAAACACCATAACCGCATCCACCGGATTGTTAGGTGTTCAATGGCATCATCATGTCCATCGTTATGTTATCGGCTAATATTTATGAGTTCCTGACAAAAATACAGCATACTCGGAGTACCGATGAAGATTATTTTGTTGTTGTTTCATTAAAACTCCAGCGAGAAGGGTTTTGCTGCTCATGATATGCTAAAGATGATCTTCCAATCACATACATGGTTCAGGTGCATAAAATTTCTTGTGATCTACCAGCCATGGAATAAAACAATATAGATGATACAAATAATTTGATTCAATATAAATGCACAGTAACTATTCGTCAATTGATGTAAGATATATTTTCTTTATTTATATGGTTCCATATCCAGTTGTTGGACCTTTTTCATGTTCCTTTTCCTGTCCCACTTGCTTTTATATTCTTTCAAATGCTTAAATAAATAGTGACCAAAGTAGAGCTTGTAGTATTTTTTTTTAATTATATAAATATCGAATATCGGATATGAGTATGTATCTGATACGAATATGATTATTTTCTTTTTAAGTAGTCCATGTATTTGGAGGATCTTTAGAGGTAATATCCATTATCTCCATATCCTTGTGTGGGACATGAATGTCAATATTTTTTTTTTCAAGTTGTCTATGTGTTTGAAGGATCTTTAGAAGTCGAATCCTCGTATCCACTATATCCTTCAGGTCAATTTTGTTGATACTCATTTAGTTCTTAAATTATTAGTTTTGGTTCACTTTAGTACCTAAATTTTCATAATTTTTTTCAAAATCATACCTAATATTTCGTTTTTGTTTCATTTTAGCACCCTATTGTTAAAAACTTAGCGCGTTTAGTACCTAAACCATCAATTTTAGTCTTTTAGTACCTAAACTTTCAAAAAAATTCAAAAATTATCGTTAAAATTTGAAATTAGATACTAAAATAAAATAAAAATTAAATTTAGGTATGGTTTTGAAAATATTAAAAGTTTAGGTACTAAATATGTAATTTACCCTTTAAATTAAATGAAAAGTTTTCAGTTTCTAGGGATCACTGCTTGCACTTTCCGGTTCACTTGGGGTTATCAGTAATATAACTGGTTAACATGCTCTGCAAATTGACCTGAAGGTTCAATTTAGTAGTATCTAATTTTTTAATTCAATTAAGTACTTGAATTTAATTTTTTTATTCAAATTGGTATTTAAATTTAATTTCATCGTTCAAATAAACATTTAACTTTGTATCAACTTGGACTAAATAGTTAAGCACTAATTTGAAACAAAAAACTAAATTCAAGTATTTAAGTAAATTAAAAAAAGCCTTTAAAATTTAAACTGAACCTTAAATTTTTTAAATTTAAATATTTTATTTCAAAAAATTAAATATTAAATTCAGATACTAATATATATATATATATATATTATATGCTCAACAAAATTTCATTGTTCCTAATAATAATTTGAAGGAACATGTGGTGGACGATCAAATTGTAAATAGTTCACTTTATAAATAAAATCCCATTGCGTGTCCAGTCATCGTTTGAGATGAGCATTGTCCAGACATGATTTTAAATTAATAAAATCATAATGGCATTTAATATTATGAAAAATATTTAACATAGATTATATTATTAGAATGACAATTTCGAACATAGATAATAAAATAAATATAAACAATAAAAATATATTTAATAATATTATTTCTATTAATTTTATAAAAATTAGTTTATGGATCGATATTTTAAGTACTTTGTGCTTTTCTCCATTCTCACTTTTATTTCATTTAATTTTTTGTTCATGACGACATTAATAACAGTAAAAATTATTACACGAAATAATTAAGAAATATGATGCGACAAAATTTCAAAAATTATAAAAATGTTTTTTTTAAATAAGATTGGATTATTTTATAATAAAGCACAGCTTCTATTTTTAGTACGGAAACTGAAAAATAGAAACAATTTTATTTTTGTTTATTTATTTACATTGACCTTTGTATTCCAACGAACTTTCCCCCAAACTATACCAGAAAATATAAACCACATAAACCATTTTTTGCGATTATTTGGATAAATCGTTGGCCATGAGCTCGGGCACATCAGGCGGAGAATCGACGGCGCGTGGAACGAGCTCGACATCGTCGACCGATAAGAAAAAATAAAAGGCGAGAGTGAGCCGGACTTCGATGATCTTATGGCATGCTCATCAAAACGACATCGGCGCTGTCCGTAAGCTTCTAGAGGAAGACGGTTCTTTGGTCCACGCTAGGGATTACGACAACCGTACGCCTCTCCATGTTGCTTCACTTCACGGATGGATCGACATCGCCAAGTGCCTCCTTGAATCTGGCGCAGATGTCAACGCTCAAGATCGCTGGAAGAATACGGTGCCATTTTAAAGTCCTTGTCTCTAGTTATCTGATCATTTAACTCTTTCTACATATATTTTATTTCTGGATTTTATCTGAAGTTTGTTGGATTTATTGTTTGTTTGATGATGATAGCCTTTAGCTGATGCAGAAGGAGCTAAGAAAAATACCATGATCGAGCTATTAAAATCATATGGTGGATTGTCTTACTTAAGTTCAAATTTTGCTTTGCTGTTTTTCATCGTCGAGTATGATGGGCGATTAATGGCGGGATATGCACTCTGTTTTTGGCTCTTAATAATGCTTGTGAATTATCTCTTGTGATCTGATTCATTTTGGAGCTAGATAGAAATGTTTACTAAAGGGAAACATTATTAAAATTTAGAGCTCGTTTGTTTTGCATTTTCTTTTGTGAGCTCAAAGTTAAAATTTTAGTTCTTGCAGGGCCAAAGTGGAAGCCATTTTGAACCAAAGCCAGTCCAGCCCCCTCTACCAAACAAGTGTGACTGGGAAATTGATCCTTCTGAGCTGGACTTCTGTAGTTCAAATATCATAGGAAAGGTGTGATTTCAACTTCTTAATATTGTTAACTTGCAGTCGCAGACCAGAGCTTGCTTGTCGTGCATGCAAATTGTTTTAAATACGAAATGACATCGAGAACATTGGTTATTTCATTGTTGCGTGATATATCGACTTCGATTTTAGGCTATACTTGGTAAGGATGGAAAATGAAAAAAAAAATTATCTCATGGTTAGGGTTCATAACTACCTTCTTACGTGGCAACTTAACCACTGGATTAAAACTTTTTCCTTCCTCCATTCGCTCCTCCTAACCAAGCAAAGCCTTAATTCTTATCAAAACTAAGATCGAATGTCTTCTATCATCGTGTGCCAATAAAGAATATGATAAAGACCCTCTTATGACTAGCATAATGGTGATCATCTCCCTGGAAAGATGGAAACCATTTGGTGAAATCGAGATTTACCATGCCTGAATTTGACGATCGCAATGACAATTACATTTAAAAATTAACCCTTTTCATTTAGTCTCTAGAAGCATGAATCATCTCCTATAAACAGAGATGGCTGAATGCATACTCCCTTTTTCTCTTATTAGAAAGATTTATTATAAGCTCATGAGTAAGGAAATGTTTCTTTTAGATAATATAAGTTTGAACTACCTATCAAACTTCTTTAAATATTGGTGCGTTCCTTTTAAGTGTAAATTAGTTCTGTTTGGAACTTGAGTTCTTATATAAGCTGCGAAATTTCTGATTGTCAGTAAGTCAGCTTGCAAGTACCTGGATTATTCTCCGTATATGATCCGGAATATTTGCTTTTTCTGATTATATCCTTTTCTTCCAGGGGTCGTTTGGTGAGATTTTAAAGGCCAGTTGGCGAGGAACCCCTGTAGCTGTCAAACGCATTCTTCCATCACTTTCAGATGATAAACTAGTTATGTAAGTCCGCCATTTTATGAATGTACCTCTGTTCTTCACTTCCCAAGCTCTTTCCCCATGAAATTGTATTTCTTTGATTTATGCCCTATGCTGGAAAAGTGAAAATTATTTTCTCATTGACAATGAAAAAGCAACCAAAGGAAAGATTTTTTCTGTAATGACATGAAACATTTTCTATAATGACAGTAATTTGCTTCAAGTTTTGAAAGTCACGTCCACATTTTTTCGGGTTAATCTGATGCTCATTGTATCGTGATTGATTTCCTATCTACCCTGATTTTTTCACTGAAGAATGCAATTCTCTGTGTTTTCTGCTCTGTTGGTTCAGTCAGGATTTCCGGCATGAAGTGAAGGTGCTTGTAAAGCTCCGCCATCCTAATGTAGTTCAATTCCTTGGAGCTGTCACTGACAAGAAGCCTCTTATGTTGATCACTGAGTATTTAAGAGGGGTATATGAATATATATATGTTTCTCAATTCAATCTCTCCGTAGATTATTCTATTTTGAAACTTAAATTTTACTTTAATTACCCTTTTTATGTTATCATTATGTGTAATTAAAGGGTGATCTTCACCAGCATCTCAAGGAAAAGGGTGCGATTAGTGCATCAACAGCCAACTTTGCATTGGACATTGCAAGGTATACAAGAATGCTTCTATTTGAAGTTGTATAGTAGGTGCAGCTCTATGTCAATGTATCCTGCTTTTGCGTACACGTAAAACTTGGAGAGAGTGAGAAAATGTGGAACCTATGTTGCTCGGACAATCATATTCGGCACAAGGATACGAGGACGTGTTTATACTCATATCAGATACATTCTCATATTTAACACTCACACCTGAATCTAAGTAATATAGCATATAACTATATCATAAATCACATTTCCTTTTTCTCCAAGTAGGATAAAATCATTATTTTTTATTCGATTCTAATTTCACTTCCTTTCTACTGAAATACGCATTTGCTGTGTGATTGCATTTGATTTTCTTCCATATGTATGACTATTTTCCTAATATGAATTTTATAAATTGTGGATAGGGGCATGGCTTATCTTCACAACGAGCCAAATGTCATAATTCATAGAGATCTAAAACCAAGGCAAGGCAAGTCAATTTCAATTTCAGTTTTTCTGTGCAAGTAGTCCTGTTTTTCTTCTACTATTATTTCAGGGCTCTATGTATTTTATTGACAGCGGGTTTATGTGGTGGAAATTTCTTTTTAAACTTGGAATGATTAATGAACTAGGCCTTCTGAAAACACAAAATTTAACCATTTCCTATGATTCCTTCGCTTTTTCTCCCATGGTTGAAATTTGAACCGCATTGAGTTTTTCTTGTTATAAAATTCATTTCTTTTACTTTAGGAATGTGCTGTTGGTCAACACCAATGCTGAGCATTTGAAAGTAGGGGACTTTGGCCTGAGCAAGCTCATCAAGGTTCAAAACTGTCATGATGTCTACAAGATGACTGGCGAAACAGGGAGTTGTAAGTGCCTCTTTAGATATCCTTTGGATAAGTTATGATCCTCGGATTCTCAGGTTCTTTACTTGTATTTGAATAGATCATTACATGGCTCCTGAACTTTTCAAGCACCGGAAATATGATAAAAAGGTCGATGTTTTCTCTTTCGCAATGATACGTTATGAGGTAATCTTCTTCCTCTCTGGAGATGATATTTGACCATATACCATTTGAGACTAGTTCTAACGTATGATGTTGTTACACCTGCAGATGCTTGAAGGAGATCCACCATTCTCCAATTATGACCCTTATGAAGCAGCCAAGTATGCTGCAGCAGGACACCGACCTCCTTTTCGTTCAAAATCATACATCCCTGAACTGAGAGAGTAAGCCATTTCTTAAACTTTTCTACTTTACTAGAAATTTCCATGGTCCGTGCTTCGCTGAATACGTCATCTAATCATAACTTGTGTTTGATAATCATAAGTAGGTTTTGTAGACTACCATATCTGCATAAAGATTTGCATATTTTTCACCTTAATGCTGCAGATATGATGCTTAGTGATTAACGCTAATAAAGTTACTTGACAAACAATTGAAGTACTGCACCTGGACAAGTGGAATTGCTGATTGTTTTCTTGTTGAATTTTTTTCTTAGCTTAACAGAAATTTTGGGCTGCTGACATGAACCAAAGACCTTTCTTGGATATTCTCAAGAGGCTTGAAAAGATCTAGGAAAAATGTACCCACAAATCATCATTGGCATATATTCAATACATAAGATCCGATGAAATCGGCGATGAACATTCCGTTTCCACTGATCACCTCCGGCTAGCCCATTTGTGTGGATGGATGGTACGTGTAAATAGACTCGATATGTATAGATTGTGATAGATTTTTGCATGACTTGGTTTCATCTATCCATGTCATCCGCAGCAAGGGATGAGTGTTGGATATCAGTATACATCCCCGTATTTTTCATATATTTACAAGATCATATTTTCATACCCGATTTCGAGCATGTTCGAGTACATGTTAGATATAAATATTTCATTAAAAATCAAGAGCAGGAATACATAGTTAACAAGAAGAGCTTGCCATTTTGTTGTATCCCACTACCTCACTCCCTCCCCAAACTTCATCCATTATTAAACGTAAGGCATATTCAACAAAGATCTTTGTCAAAATATCTTAAACGAGTACAAGATAAGAAATGAAAATCTATGGTCTTACAAACTTAAATGAGCTTCTTCTTCTCGAAGAAGGATTTCAAGTGCCAAAACTGTAATCCGGCTACGGATAGGCAAAGAAACAGTGAGAGGAACGACAGCCAGAACATTTTGGAGGTCGTAGCTTTGTTCAGCTCCTGCATTTCTTCTTCTCTGGAAATCAACAGTCATATGCAGAAATAAGATTTCTTCAAGAGGAAGAACTATGTTGCAACAACTGATAAGATGCTTTCCTTACCTTTCCCGCAAATAAAACATTTCCTCGTGAATGGATTGAACAGTCTCATACAGATTCTTCAGCTCCAGTTCCATTGCCTGGTGAGCATCAAAGTAGGTTTATTTCCCGATGAAGGGTACTCTTAGAGATTCGAAAGCAATAGGAACACAAAAAAACCCTAGCATGCCTAATTGCTAAACGATAACGGTAAGCATAATGATCGCACAATAAAATAACACCAAGATTTTATGCGGAAAATCTTTTCGGGAAAAACGACTGACAGAAGAGATTGTGTAAATATGAACATGTATTGTGTGCATCTACTTTACAGAAACCCTATCCATATCTCCAAAGATTAAGCCAAAAACAGTGAAAATCTCGTAAACAGCATAGAGATAGACGTGGTGGAACTTCATAACCTGCATCTAATGCTAAGTGAAGATCGCTTATATGATGAAATATCGAAGATAACAAACCTTGACCATAGAGAAAAAGCAGTAATTTTCCATAAGATACTACAGTGAGATCCTTTAGCTTAAGCAAATTGGGTTAAAGTCATGTTTCGAGTAGTTCCAAAGTACTAAACTGCAGCCGCAACGCATAGAAACGGCCGCATCATAACAGTTTCCAAGGTCACTGTGACTATTAATTTATAAACATTGCGAGTTCTGCGAAACAAATCATGTCAGCACCAACCACCCTGCATTACAGAATGTTCGCAACCGTACCCGCAACAAACACCGCCACCGCAATTTAATAGAGTGGTTCAATTCACGAAGGGGACTCTAATGACAATTAGAAGAAGCCTACTTAGTTTTTAACACTTAGAACTACAACAAGCAACAAAAATCTCCTCACTTTCAACCGTGTTTCTCATCCATGTGATTTTAAATCAAGGGAAAACTAAAGAGTTTTGCAATGTGCAACTGGATGTGTATGTATTTAAAGTTAAACCCTAAACTAAAAACAGCAAATTAATGAAGCAAATTGGATTATTTTTTTCTTTTTGTTGAAGGGATTGAAATACTTACATCGACTTGGCCTTTCTTAGCAACGTTAGTCCAATCCTTAGCGTGGACACCAGTCTTCCAATCAAAATCAACGGTCACCGTGATCTGCGGCGAATGCTCCGGCACCCAAAAGCAAGCCATGTAATCTCCTTGCTCCGCCGCCGTGAATGCAAACTGCCCACTCTCCACCTTCTCCGCCGAGTGATAACTGTTCCCATACGACGACGTTACCTACAACAAATAATTTTACAGCTAAAACTTCATTATTGCTCTTAAAATTCAAAGCAGAAAACAAAAGAAGATTGTTTTTTTAAATACCTTGACGGTGAGCTTGTGAGAATCAGGCAAAGGGTGATCTTCATTGGGTTTAACAACATGGTACTTTCCGACTGTCATTGAATTGCTTTTCATGTCTTCCGCGATGCATTTGGTTTGACCCGATTGCAGCTCGAACCGTAAAGATTCCGACGCAGGGACAAAATAACGACCAACAGAACCAGGACCAGAACCGTAAAGATAGCAAATCAGTGGCTGCTAGACGAATCAGAAGAGATCGGGAAAAAATTAAAATAATAAATAAGAGGTCAAAGTTAAAAGGCTACGTGGTGGGGTAGGATTGGAACAGTCACGTAACTTTGAATACTTTTAGATCCTCTTAGGCTTAGCTTTGTCCTAAAACTAAAATCCCAGATCACTATTACCGCTTAGCTGTCTGTCTTGTCTGCAAAAACTACTCTTTCGCGATTCAAACAGTTTTCTTCATTATTTTATTTTATTTTTTAATCTCCCATTATCAATAATTAATCATAAAATTAAATTAATTTTTTGAATAAAAATAATATATTTTTTGGATAATTAAGATTTTTATTATCAAAAAATAACAGAAAAGTGCTACAAAACCAATACAATCAAAAGAATAAAAGAAAGGAAACCTATTTACAACAAAAATCATAATATGCCCGAGTGATAAAAGTTAGTACTATCTATTCTATTAGCATTCCAATTATTAAATGAAAAAGTGAGTACAAATGAGGAGGAGATACCTCTATTTATAGTGGAATCTCCCCCTCAATGAACTAATAAATAAGTACATCGACGGCCCAGATCGAATACAATATCCTAAATCCTCAAATGAAGGAATTGTATCTACAAGATCTTCTCTTAACTAAGGAAACTCTATCAAGTTAGTTATATGTTGCCTTAGATAAAATATTACAAAGTTAATGGAAAGAATCATGAGGATTCTATATTAAACCAAAGATTCTCCTGTCATAAACGTGCAAGGCTCTTTATCTCCATAAAATAGGCCAGTCTTCATAGGTCTAGGAAGGCCCGAAACGTTACTTAAGTAATCTTGGACTACTTTTATTATGTTAACTTCAATTGTGAGCTTGTGGTACGTGACAAATGCAATATATAGGCGATGGTGCAATAGTGTACTGAATGAACTAGCAGTGGGTGTAATGATTGATCTTTTGACACTTACATTCCCACTTCGGCTACTCTCTGAAAACAGTAGGTGCGATGATCGAGAAGAATAAAGATAAGGAATGCTCAAAACCAATGTATGTTAAAATGGTCCTAATAGATTTTAATCTGAATATGCTTTGATTAGCAGTACAGTTTTATTGTATAATCGTTAACCTGAATATGCTTTGATTTAAGATTAATAAATTACTGACTAATCTATTATCATTACGAGACAAAACAAACTCTAACGAAATGAACCAAAATCAAACTATTTGACATCTTAAATTCTTGTCTACGAGAACCTATCTTTAGTTGCAAGTCTTTCAAGGATTGATAATCATGCAATAATAGTATGTTTTGGCGTACGATAAGAAATTAAATTATTTTGTGCCAAAGAAATTTGGTCCTTTTAATTCTAATCTCACACCAAATCAATCTAATGTCCTCAGGTTTCAACTCATAGAATATTTTAAGTCATATGCTAAAATTAATCACCTTTGACAATTAACAATTTTTTTTAATAAAACTATATAAATCCAACAACTTTAATTAAATCCTCATTAATATTAGCTCCGAAATTTAATTACAGTGTAACTCCTCTTCTCATAAAAAAAAGAATTCTAATTATCACTGAAATCATAAGTTCTAACACTTTAATTATATGTTGATTAACATTAGGTCAAATTAACCACATGATTATTGGCGTATTCAAACTCCCTTGTAGCCATACTCGACTACTTAACTTAATAAATTTAGGATATTATTCCAGTAATTCTTGTATTCCTCAGAACTACTACTGCTACTATCAGCACCATAGTTCGTTTCCTTCAAGTTTTCACCGGGCGCCGCCATTGACGAATTCTGCTGATGATCATTGCAAGAATCCCAAACCATTATATCCGAATAATTGGTACCTTCCATATTCATGTTTTCATCCTTGTGTGGATCTTGATGAGGCCATGTGGCCATTTCGACATTCAATCCCATGTTGGTGTCTAATAATGTTTCCTTATTTTTCCAATCACTTCCACTACAGTATTCAATTCCATGGTCGTTGATTAATCCGTTAGGTAACATGTTTTCCATGGAGTTCAAAGTCGACGCCGGAGACTGGAGGTTGTCGGAGTTGAACGTGAACAATCCGGTGACTATGCCTTGCCAAGCTGTGAGCACATCAAGGCATTGTGGCCTAGTTGTTGGCGGAGCCATAGCAGCACTGTTAATGAGCTGTGGACCCGAGGAGGAGGAAGAGGACAAGCCAACGGCTATATGCAGATTTTGGGGAGGATTTGAAACCAGTTTCGACTCTCGAACCAACCTAGATTCCGCTTCTAACCGAGCACTCTCCCATTGAGCCATATGGCTGAGGTTAGCTGCATCCTTGGGGTTACCGGTTGCGGACCCGAGGGCATCGGCTTTAGGCTTGTGGGTGACCGGATCGATCCCCATCTTGCTCAATCTTTTCTTCAGATGTGTGTTCCAGTAGTTCTTGATCTCGTTATCTGTTCTTCTTGGTAAATGAGCTGCAATTGCCGACCACCTATAGACACACACACATATATATAAATCAATTTAAGTAATTTAATAATTTATATAGTATCAGTGAATCAAATGACGATAGAAAATCACTTGTTTCCGAGAAGGACATGGAGTTGAATGATGGTTTGTTCTTCATGTAGACTGAACTTTCCCCTTTTGATATCGGGTCTCAAGTAGTTAATCCACCTGAGTCTGCAACTCTTACCACATCTTTGAAGCCCTATATTACATCAAAAGCAAAGGTAAAAAAAACAGTAATTAAAATGCGAGATGTCTGATCGAAATGGAAAATAAATAGTATAAATTATTAATGATTCTCACCTGCTTTTGCAGGCAAAGCGCTCCAGCTTCCATGGCCATGTTGTTCGATGAAAGCCAAGAGCTTTTGATCTTCTTCGGGAGTCCATGGCCCTTTCTTCAACCCCACCTTATCGCAACATGGAGACCGTCCCATGTTCTTGGTATAGAACAAGTGAAGAAAAAAACCAAACACAAAAACTTTTTTTTCCTTGGAAACAAGACAGTGAAAGAGAGACAAAACAATGTCGGAAATGATGGTTAACTACTTGAAGTAGAAAATATGAACTGCAATATATAGGCGATGCTGCAATAGTGCAGCGAATATGGAGATGGTCCTTTTGACCGTTGTACCCTTCATTATAAATAAATTTTTGATTATAATAATCAACTATATGAATAAAAAAATTCGTTTTATAATATTTTAATTATAATTATTTTTTATTAATAAGGTGTGATTATAAGGTGATATCTCTTTAATACTCATAATTATATGACAATAAACGTTCAAACACTCATGTAGATGATGTGCTCAAATATAAGACTTTTAACTATAACAATCATCATTTTAATCATTGAGGTCGTATTAATTGTAATTATTTAAATTATAATAATAATAATAATATACAATCTTAATGTGATTTCTTCTACAAATAATTTTAACCTATTACTATATCTTTAATTAATATTTAAATAAATAATTAACTACATACAACAATATATTAAAAAAACTTTTGCGAAAAAAAAAATCCAGCACTAATGTACTATAATTATTAATTATGATTAAGGTTTTTTTTTATAATTTCTCTAAAAAATCCATCTACAAATTACTTTTAAGTGGTTATGAGAATTAAACCATGATTTGTTCTTATTCTAGATTTGAAAAAGAATTAAAAGAAGAAAAAAAGGAATTTAAACTTGATTATTCAACTTATGCGAACATTCTTCTGTTTTTTTTCTCAGCAAAAGTCAATTTATTAAAGTAATTAAAGAGTCGAAGTTCAACTTATGAACCTCATTAAAAACCTCCCTAATCTAATCGAAGGAAAAGAGTATTACATAAGAGAACATTCTTCTATTGTTGATTGAGTCAACAAGTAGGTTTCAATATTTTAGGGCTTCAAATTAAATAATAAAAACATAGCTAAAGCTCTATTGGACTTGATTAATTACAATCAATTGGTTTGATATTAATAGAATTCCGTGATCGAAATTTACACATAAATAAGATAAGAATTTATACATGCATTTAATTATAATAAGATTCGAACATGAAAAAAATTTCAAGACACTTATCTACAAATATAAACATGTTTTTATGTAGTAAAATTGTGAATATATTAAAATGCACAACCAACAAAGAAGGAAAGCAATTAACCTAGAGTCCATAGAAAGATCCGGATAGTAAAGATGAATATTTTTACAGAAATACAACTACATGTGCGACGTACTGTCGACTGCATGTGGCATGCAGTAAATAACTAAATGCGTAGACAAATTTTCATTGTGTGTGTCTGTGTTTCATTATTCTTGAATATATAAAAATTTGATATAATTTTATAAAATTAAGTAGAACATTCGTTAAAAGCAAAAGGTGACAGGTATAATATTGAACTGACGCAGTAATTGTGAGATTTGTGGCATCATAGGGCCACCTGTTTTCATTAATAATTAGCATTAAATTGTCTGGCCTAGAGTCTCAATTACTGACTGAATATTCATATAGCAAATGCTATTAATACCTTTCCAGACATTATATCAAGAAAAATGTTAATTAATACTAATTAAGGTGATGTTTAAGGAAAATAAATCAATGGGTTATAATCTCTTAAATTTATTAAAAATAGTGGTAGGAAACGAATTTAAAACTGGTTTAATTGCATTAAATGATACTGTTGAAAATTGGGAGATGATAATTAAGCAGAGCCTGCACGTTCATCGTTTCTGTATTTAACATGAATGATCCGAATTGAATTCATGAAATAAAATCGTGGAGCTACTACATTATAAGGATTAAATCCCCAGGAATTAATGTCCAAATGACTCTTGATTTTACTTTTGCCTTGGTTGGTCTCTCAAGGCATGCTCTAGATAATTATTTATTTATAACTAAATTATAAACAAGTAATATATTATAAAATCCAAATGAAGTAAATGTAAAAAACTGGTGAAGTGTGAAATCCAA